ATTTTGTCAAAATGAATTATTTACTGTTTGAAGCTAAAGTACTATTTTCTATAGATTCCATGATAAAAATTGAAAGAATGTTGTCAAAACGTACTAATTACATCAATTTTTTCAAAACGTACAATTTCCATCGATGATGTAAAATAATGTACTATTTTCCCGTGTAAATGATATACGTGTAAATGGACGGAGAATGTATGGATGCAAAACGTACTATTATCAAAAACGATGTTGTCCAAAAATTCTTTTTAATGTTAAATTTTATTAAATAAGATGGTTTTAATATATGATAAAAGTTTTTTGTTTAATATATTATCAACTTGCCAATCTAAATTACAAATTTATGAAGATATCTTCAAAAATAGTGAAGACGTTGGAAACGAAGAACAAGAAAATTTATATGATGAAGATGATGATTGAGATATTTTTACTATACTTTTTTATTCATAATAATATACTATTATTACTTTTCAAGACTGAAAGTGTTTCTTAAAATACTTTATTTATCTTGTTTTAGTTTTTATTCATTAAAAGCTATTAAAAAACAAGTTATATTAAATATATTTACTATACGTCTATACCTAACAAGTATTCCTTTCACCACCTACATAATTAATAGATGCTACCAGTTTCCTATGTATTATATATTTTCTTAGCTTATAGAAATTTAATTGAAATTTATAAGTCTAATATAACACTTAGTTGAGTCAAAGTATTTCAATTTCTCAGCTTAAAAATATATTAAATTATATTCATTATACAATTGAATATATGGAAATAGAACGTTTTGTAAAAATGTTGTTCAAAACGTACTATTTGTGTTAATCAAAGCAAAATGTACTTTTTGTTACAAATAGTACGTTTTGATCCAATTCAAAATATAACATACTATATTTAAGTAAAAAAAATACATTTTAAAATACTTTTACCTACAGAAATGTATTTATTAGATTTTTATCTATTTTTAAACATTTTAGCAACATTTATATCTTATTTGTTTAATACACAGTAGAAAATGACCTCTCCTGAAAAATATGTAAAATACAAATAGTTTTTGAAAACTAAATCATATGTTTAAAATGATAGTTTATATATTTGGTGAACATTTCAAGTATCTGCAGTTATTCGTTTTTGAATGTCACTAAAAAACAAAATCAATTTTGTAAAATATTGGATTTGCATGAAAATGTCTGTTCTATCTTATTTTTTTCCTAATTATTTTGATGTATTCTGATTATCTTAATTTTTACCTCTCTATAATACAAATTAGATCCAATTTTCTATTCAAAACCACATTTAAAGTCAAAATTCTAAGCATTTTATCAATTATTGTTCGTTTACACAAACAGACTAAAAAAAATAAAATGCATGGCTTCGTTCAAAATCTAAAATTAAATGCATAATATAAGGAAATGATTATCAAGTAATCTTCATGATGAATAATAAAATTTTTTCCAAAATTTAATTTTAAATAGATCAGTTAATATAATTGAAAAAAAATTGCTATTTTTTCACAGAAAAACAAAACAAAATATTTGTGAGGTGTATTAGGGGGTACCACACGATTGCGTACGATGTATCTTTTTGAGAACACGATTGCGTACGTCAACATGATTGCGTACGTTAAACTATTAACTTTAATATTTACCCCAAAAGTCAAACGATTGCGTACGATTTACTGTGCAACGTTGCCAAATTTATGTTTTTATTTGTGATCAGTAAAATTTAAATATTGGAAAAATGACTTAAGTTATGGTACCTACCACTTAAAAATCTCAATTTTCGACAAATACCTGTTATAATATAGTATACAAAATAAAATAATTAAAAATAATAAAATGTTAAAATAATATAATAAAAAATGATAATAATAATAATACCTATGTTATGGTACCACTTTTTTTTAAAAATTGTTTTGACAATTTCAAAGTCGATCTATTATAATTTATTTTTAGGGCCACGCGCTCTATGTATTTCTTAATAATAGTCGATCAATAAGTCGATCCTCAAAGGTGAAGTATATTTTTAGTAGATCGTGACCAATAAAAGTATGGTCACCCCTGTTCTATAAGTTCAAAGCAAATGGCAACAGTGCTTCAAAGTTGCAGATAAAAATCATACGTAATCGTAAACATTTAATGTTCACGATTGCGTATGTCGATAAAGACCGTACGCAATCGTGTTTTACCAGTATTAGGTACAAGAATGTTCTGCTATTTTTGTTACATGATTCGCACACATACTCTTAAAAAATAATTTATATTCAATTACTTGAAAACTCTTGGTATTGAATACCCTTAAATTAAATAAATTTAATGTTAATTGAAGAAAAATAAATATTACCTTTACCTAATCTTCGATATAAGTATTTTATTTAAAGAATGTTTTTAATACCTATAAATATTTAATGGCAGTCAAGAATATTTTTCTTTTTTATTATTCTCACAATGAAACAATAATAATAGTTTTATTAAACAAAATAAATACTATAATAGTATTTTATTATATTATGTATACATAGTAATATAATACCAACACATTAATCAAAACTATAGTGCATATAGCATATTATATTGAACAAAAAAACAGTCTAAAGCAGTGGTTCTCAATCTTTTTAGGGCCGCAACCCAAATTTTCTTACAAAAATTTATCGCGACTCCCATAGTTGTTTTACATTTACAGAATTAAAATTGTAATTTCAAAAAACAAATTTTTTTATTACTTATTTACTACTTTATAATAATTTCTTACAATTTGTATAATTAAAAAAACTTCTCGCGACCCCCCAGCTGGTCGCGACCCACAGTTTGAGAAACGCTGGTCTAAAGTTAACACTATTGTCTATTACCTAATTGATGAGTGGCGACTATTACCTATCTAACCAGTAATCTCTGATATATTCATATTTTGATTATTTTTACCCATACATCGACTCGTTAACCTTTTACCTGATTGTTATCAATATTTTATTCAATTAATAATTGTATATCATTAGAGCTTACTGCCTCGTTATAAAAAGATAAATCTTTTATAAACACCATCATAAATCATAATGACAAAAAATGACGCTGTTCGTATTTTTTTAATAGTTGAATATTTAAAAATATCATAAACAAAATAAATTATAGTTTGTAGTACCTACCCTATTATTTGGATGAGTCGTTGTGGTAAGCGTCAGGTGTGAACTTCAGTAGTTTAGACTTAATTCTCATTATTAGTTGCAGACGTGGTATAACTGTTTATTGGTTTATTTGTAGCTACTTCATAAATAGTACATAACACGAAGTTATTAAAGGTACAAACCGAAATTTATTGGAACTAAATTTTCAACAGAAATTGAGAAATACAGTTTCATGTAATAGCAAATTACCTATCTTTCATAGAATTCGGGTATTGTGTGGTCAATGGGTACAAGGATGGTAAATCCATGGAAAAATCCACAAAAAAAAATAGCAATGGAAAAATTTATTTCTTCATATTTGTCATCAGCTTATAGCGGGCTACGAAGTTCCATCGTAAACACCTATTTATGTATACAAAATAATTAGATCAACTTATTATACAAATATGTATCATATTAAGTTACTGCAGGTTATATCCATAACTTCTTTGATAGCGTCGATTTCAATTTCGAAAATAACTTTTAAAAATTAAATTTTCGTTGAAACTAATTCTAATAGAATTAACTGCTCAAAATTCTCTAAAATTAATTATAAAAAATGTATAAATCTTTCAAGTTTAAGTGATAAAATAGTATACTATGTTTGAAATTAATTATGTACCAATCCATTTTACTATTTAAACATACGGTTTATTGGTATACTATAAAATATTATATAGTCAAGAATTACTTTAAAAGCCATGGCCATTAAAAATGTTTCAATAACCTATAAACCATTTCCTTTACTTTTATGAAAAACAGTGATTTAAAAAAATAATATAATAGTACAGTTGTACTACTGTGAATACACTGAACACCACAATAGTACAGCCGTTAAAAATGATTGCATAATCATCAAATTATTTCTAATGTTGAAAAATGTTTTGCTAACACACAATAAACTAAGTATTATATTAACTTTAATCGTGTGTATATATCAAATTAGAAATATTAAAAGAGATAATATAGGTACCAATTCATTATACTCCGATTGGAAATTAATTTTAGTTTTCATGTATTTTCGAGAATAAATCTAAAAAACAAATAATGGTGAACAAATATTTATAACCAACACTATTATAACAATATATTTAAAAATTGTTGGTAGCCTATAGATAAATATAGATAAGCTTAAACAGTTATATTATGTTAATCTATGGTAAGATTTAATTAGGTACCAAGGTATCCTTCAAAGAAATCTACCCGACTTCTGTTTATGTTTTAGGTACCGTTTTAAATCGATCATAATAATATGCAACTATAAAATTGAATTAGTTATAAAAATCAAATGATACGTTTACTCCGAAATGGCGAAATATTTACAGTTGTTGGGACAGTAGTCAGCGTTGAGATGAAAATTTAATAAGTAAGTTCATAAAATGTCATAAAAATTAAAGTCTTGATATTTATTATTTATGCACTAAAAAAACATTTATAATATGCATTCATACGCATCAAAACCTTGCTATACATCTAATATGGTTTAAATAATATGTGTGAATACATGATTTTTATATCAAAATACGTTTTTATACGGTTAAAATCTTATCGTCTTGACTAAAATATACTAATTATTATACTATAATAATACTATATACTATTATACTATATTATTAGTGACTATAATCCTTCTGGTTTGAGTTTGAGTATAAATAAAATATTAAAACTCTATGTATGGACGTTTTGGTGGGATTTTTCGGTTTCAATGTTGGCATAATTGACTATTGAAAATCGAATTGTTGTTATCACGTTTTTAAATATCTGATCTAGTCCCCCCTTGAATTGCGATTCCCGGTCCTAAACTGTTTACAAACAGATAAGAACCGAGTTCGGTTGTAATTTTGTTGTTTTCTACTTTACGTTGAATTTTTGTATTTTCCTTTTTAAAATTGTTTTATTGTTAATGGTGCATAATTTTTAATTAATCCTACAAGATGACGGTGAAGAAAAAGGTTAGTATATCGTTAGTCTAGTCGATAATAACCAATTTTACTATGGGCAATATAATATGTTGTTCATTATTATTTATATTTCTAAAATTATTTATTATTTATTTTTCTTTACAATGGTTTCATACAAAAATAAAAATGAATTGCATTAATCGTATATGCTTTATTCCAATCCGTGTAATTATTAGAAATGTTCTATATGTATTTTATTATAATTTAGGTATAAATAGAAATTATACATTATTTTTTTTTAAAGTAATGCTATAACTTGTTTACGCAAAGACATCAAATTATCAAAATTGTTTAAATTTCATGAATTATTAAATATATGTAGATATCAAATCTATTGAGAATTTAAATTTAATTACAAGTTATTTTACTATATTATGTTATTGAGTAAATGTAATAAATAACCAGCGTTCACTACTTGCAATTTTACTATGAGTTTACAATGTGTTGTTTACAAAATGGCAGAAAATTATTATTATTAAATTCAATATATTTTATTATTAGTTGTATCATGTTGTTATTCTTTTTTTAATATATTAGAAAAACCTTTCTATAGATCTATGTTATTTTATTTAAACATTGATTTACTTTATACAACTTAAACCAGGAGTTGGCAATTACATTCTATGGAGGTCCAGAAAATCAAAAAAAAAAAAATTCCGAGGGCCTGTAAAAACTAAAAACTCAGATATTAGTTAATAATTGTTGTGTTATCGCAGCTATTATTGTAAATAGCAATAAATGATAAACACCATCGTAATCTCTAAATACATCATAAAATAGATAAAATATATATTATGTGTGGAAAACCAGCATTATTAAAAAAATAAATATTTTTTATGGTCCAATCATTTTTCCTTCACGGGCTGGATTTGGCCTGTGGGCCGCCTATTGCCGACCACTGTCCTAAACTATACGATTCTATTCTTATAAAGTTAAAGAATAATAATGAATTTAAACCAATTAAATTTGTTTCATCTTTTTACTTGACATTACTAGGTAAGACACATTGAGTTATTTTTTGATGAAAACTTTATACCTAGTTTATAGTTTTATATTTATTAGATATTTGATTTTTTTTATCTGGGTACTTTATAAATATTTTGATAAATCATATTTACTTTGTTATAACTTGTATCTAAACCGATAGGACTAATATTTAATATTGTATATTAGGTAAATCTTTGATCATAAAACTATGAATAAAGTTTTTGTCTGGTTAAAAGATATTTTCTTTCTTATATTTTGTAAGAATTTGAAAAAAATTAATTTTACTAACCTGCTCAATTCTTAAAATTTGAGATTTTATATTACATATTATTGTATTGTATTGATTATTAATTATAAACCTATATTGTCATACATTTATAATAATATATCGATAAAATTAAAATTGAGATGTTTATTAAGTATTTCTTAATGTTTTTTACTTGTTAAAACATAATAATATAATATATATTATATGCTTCATTTACTTGCTAGTCTCTAAATAAGTAAAGTAACCACATTCTCTCAGCAAACAAATTGCTGTTCTAAAAACAAAAAAAAAAAAATAAAAAATAAAAAAAATTAGTATATCCAAGTCCTATTTTTTTGTTAAATATTTTAGATTTTAATTTAATTCCTTGTTTTACATGTATTTTAGGAATCTGGCTCTTCGGTTAATAAGTCATCAACACCACCTAAATCTACAGCACGTAAAGATTTAGCTTCCAGTACAGATTCTAGTACTAATAGTTCTAGTAGTTCTTCATCATCAACATCAGGATCTGATTCCACAAGTTCATCTGATACGGAGAATTCATCTACTACTGAAAATAATTCTTCTGAATCTGAAAAACACAAGAAATCACCAAAGAAAAAAGCATCCACTTCTTCAGAGCCAAAAGTTTCAGAACTTTCTAAAAAACAGTCTTCACCAGAAAAATTTAAAAGTAAACCCAATACAGCTCCTAAATTAACAGCTGCTATCTATACTGATTCAGATACAGATGCGGAAACAAAAACTAAAAGAAAATTTCCACCTATAAAACCTAAAGCTACTGCTACAGTTGCAGCAGTTTTAAAATCACAGGATAAAAACAAAAAATCTGATGTTAAACGTAGTCAAGGACCAAGATCTAAAGCTACAGCTATCTCTGATGGAGTTAAAAAACCTGAATCAAAGTCTAAAAGTATTTTCAGCCCAGATAAGATAAATAGTAGTGACAGTGATCCTCCACCTCCAAAACTTACGCCAATGAAAACTGCTACTACACAAAAAACATTAGTAAAACCTAGACCAAAAGCAATGGCAAAATTAAAAAAACATTCACCAACAACTAAAACATCCACTTTAACATCAGCAAGTTCTGGTTAGTATAATATACTAATATATTATAAATAAAAATATGCATTAAAAGTTGTCTAATAAAATATCTAATATTTTAAAAACATACTTGATTACCAATAACTTATAAGAAACCTGAATTAGGTTTATATATCTTTGAACTTTAATGATTGTAATTTTTAAAAAGTATTTCTGAAAAGTTAGAGTATTATATTTCTTACTTAATATTGAGTTATTCTATTTAAACTATTGTTTTAAGTTGCTAATTGTTTGGGTTGGAAACAGTCAACAGACAATATTTATTTAGGTTGTCAGTCTGGTCATAAAAATACTTTGAATCATTTCATTATTCACCAACTGACTTATTTTTACATATTTATATATATTATATATTATGTATAGCAATACTCAAAGGAAGTGCGGGCAGGTTTGCTAAGCAAGACTAGTGAGTGATATTGTGGGATGAGATATGTAATATGTGAATGAATACCTATATATATGTAAATTTAAAGCTAATGACAAAAATAAACAATAAATAAAATTTAGTTCAATGCAATTTTGTCAAGGTACAAAATATATTGAATTTCATAATACTATAAATATTTAATATTAGTTTTCTTGGCTCAAAAAGTTATAAACAATTTAGGTATTTTTGGTCCAATAATGTTCAAAAATAGATGATAACAAAAAATAGTGCAATTTTTTACAAATTATGTTGTTGAGCAAACTAATTAATTATACCTAAATAATATAAAAATTCATACAGATAAAAGTAACTAAACATTTGTATTTTTCATAAAATATACCTTAGAACAAATGTCATAAGAAAAAAATATAATATTTAATATTAACAACTGGGGCGATAAGCACCCATGGAATTATTATTATAAACGATAGGAATTTGGTGATTAGAACATTAATAGATTAGTTATAATAAAAAAATGTGGCTATTCACTCACACAAAATGAAATTATATTCATGATAAAAACTAAAAAACAAAACTCAACAATTAGTAAACACAATTCTTTTGAGTTTTGTGATGATTAGCAAACACAAAATAATAAAATTATACATACAATAACAATGAAATACTATTACAAAAAAATAATAATTCATAAATTTGATTTAAAAAAAAACTAAAATTATATGCACTTGTGGGTTGATTATCAAAACACTACTAATAATAATAGGGAATTGATTTATATGTAATAAAAAATACAAAAAATATATGTATAAATATGGAAGTATAATTTATAAAATATGTGAGATAAAAGTTTTTATTTTTGTATAATTACAATGCATTTATGGATAATGATGAGTTGCATTAAACAATTACAATTTTTTTTTGTAACAGCATGAATTTTCTTTTTTACAACATTGATTATTTCTCCACTAATAGGTGTTAATTTTTTTATCGCTGATTTGACAATTTTATACTAAAGACATATTTTTTTTGTTTTTAATTAAAAATATAAATCTTGACAATATACCGATAAATGGCTGTTTTTGTTCACTGCAACATGACTTGAAAATGTATAAATAATAAAATGATAAAATATATTTAAAAATATGTAGAAATGTGTAAAATAAAATTGGTGTCATTCTAATGAGAATGATTTAAATTGTGAACATTTCTTATCAAATTTCAAGTATCTTGTTCTAATAAAAATAAAGATTTACGTATTAATTCATTCCATACTAATTAAATATTATAAATTTTAATTTTTAATGTACAAAATGCCAATATTCATTTATATACATAATATGCAGATTTTATGTGTATTATGTAAGTGTCTATGTGTGGTGGTTGGTTATAAAGTATATTAATAATGTGATAATTATATTATATGCAGTCCGAACACTAATCATCATAGACTTTAGTAATTAAACCCCCTTTATCGCCTTTCTAGATTTTGATTTCTTCTTATGCACATATTATTACTAGTACTAATATTAACATTTCATTTTATCCATTATTCTACAGATAATTGTATGTTACAATAAAAATCATAAATATTTATTTTTCATTTATATTTAGAATCTTCAGATACAGATTCGTCATTAGACAAAAAGATCAAAAAAACAACACAAGAACAGCATAAAAAGAAACTTTTAAATAAAACACCACAACCTGCTACAAAAGTTACAAGTGCTAATGAATCTTCATCTAGTGGTAAAGTCTCTAGAGGACGTGGACGACCTAGAAAATATCCAGTTCCAGAACCAACTAAAAATGGTTCAAATATTAATTCCAATTCTAAAACTGGTCAAGACCAAAAACTTGTTACAACTAGAGGATCTACCAGAGTTAGTCGTATATTAGCTGCTAGTCATAGAACTACAACTGCAACAGATTCTGATTCAGATACTGGTATACATATATTAATTTTTTTATTAACTAATATATAAAATAATATAATTTGTGATTTCAGGAAGTAAATCAACAAGTACTAGTTGCAAATCGCCTACTAAAAAAGCTCGTGACAAAACTCGTAAGCCACTAAATTGTATTGATAAGAGATTGAATACTGGAGGACTTGTTGAATTAGAAGAAAGACTTTGTCCAGTTAATGGTTGTGATTCATTAGGTCATTTGAATGGTCTATATGAGCGTCATTTCACTTCAGAAGCCTGTCCTATGTATCATAGATTAACTATTAAACAATGCCAAGTAATAATATAAGTGATGATGTATTATATTATTTTTGATTCTTATAAACCACGTATATTTATATATTTGTTTATAGGAAAATTTGTCTGAACGACTTAAGAAAAATGAAGAACGTTTAAAAGGAGCATTAAAATCCAATTCAGCCGAACAAAAAATATATCGAGATAAAGTGAAAGAAATGAGAAGTGAGATTGAAAATAAAAAAAAAAATGAAACGAGTAGTGATACTTCCCAAAGTGACCAATATGTTGGTAAAGATTTAGAGCCTGATATACTCAACTGCTCTAATATACCATCCTATGATCTTAAATTATTTCAAGAAGCACAAGCAGTAGCCAGTGAGAAAATCGTTAGTATCTTGCTTCCTTGCTTAGTATCAATAAATATAACTGATAAGATAATTGTAAAAATATTAAATAAGTTTTTTTATTTTCTATTAACTGAAAAAATTATGAATATTAATAAAATAAAAGAGTCTTAGCCATAATATTACTATCAAATAATTAATGTTTTTATGAACTAAATTAAATTGATTACTTTGGAATTATCTTTATAAGTAATTAAATATTAAATCAGTACATAAGTATATTTTTTTATTGTAATTTAAAAACTTAGTTGAATGTAAATTAATTGATAAGGGTGCAAATAAAACAATATTTCTGTTGTTTATTAGATAAATAGACTATGCATTTTTCTATTGATGGATAGATTGATGAACTAGCCTTTGTCTATGTTTATAGAATATAGTAAAAATTGTTTTCTGTATTTCAAGAACTGATTTCTGCTTTCAATTAAAGTATAATAATAAAAAAAAAAACATATAAACTTTCTCAAATTTCAATATTAAAAAAAAAAAAGATTCTAGGTGAACACATGATGATTTCTTTAATATTTTTTATATTAGATCGAGTTATTTACGTTTTATAATTTATTATGACTAGAGTTTGAATATAAATGCCCTTTAAAATACTGAAAAATGCCTTTTAATAAAATGCATTTATGACCTAAAGACTCTAAAAAATGTCCTAAATATATCAAAAAATACATAATGTATTATAAAAATTCAAATTATTATGTAAAAAAAAGTATAATATAAAAAATTAAGTTCAATATGAAAATAATTTATATTACATAGTACTTAATCGAGTCAATATTTTTAGTTATAATATGTCTTAAAAAAATTAAAAAAATATTCCAAAAAATTTTATGATTAGAATACGGAGTACTTGAAATACATTTGTATCTTGGAAAGCATCGTGTAAGACGTTTGAAAAAAAAATGCAAATGCATTGGAATCCGAGCTCTAATCATCACTATAAATACAGAATGAATTTTACTATAATTAATTTGTATCAGACATAGTTTTGCTTTTAGACCATCTGGAGATTCTCGTCTATTTATTTACAAAATATAACTTATTTTTAATTTAAATAGAACACTTATCTCTTTTTATTTATAGTAACTAGTTTTTTGGAATTTCATTTTTTGATAATTTAACTATTATTTTTTAGTTTATGAGTTATTAAAAATGTTTAGTTTATTGTACACTTGGAATGTTTAAATTGTTATTTGTTTTTTTTTTTTTTTTATATTAAGTACATAAGAGGTTTTTTTTTGTGTCAACAGTGATATATGTGTTTTGGAAAATTTCTCTCATTATACTCTTAATATTATATTATTTATTAGTAAATATGACCCATTTAAATATCTTTAGGTGTTATGTATTAACTTTTGAATGTTTATATATATAAATAAATATTTTTAAATTATTTAATGTCATTACAAAATAACATTAAAAAAAAAAGAAAATTATTTAAGAATTTAAAATTTTTACTGTATTAAATATACAAATTAATTTCATATTCTGAAAAAGAATATATTTTTAAAGTTTTAAGATATAAAAATCAAATTTTGAATAACAAATTGATTAGTTAAAAGTATTATAACTTATAAATATATAAAGTTTAGATAAGTTGAATAGAATGGCACAGATCACCCTACAAAGTTATGGTTCAGTACTTTTTCTAATTTAATTTTTTTCAATACTTATAACTTATTAAATATTAACTACTTATTTAAAATTTAATTTTTGTGTATACTCGTCGCACATTAATAGTATGATCTGGCAGCAGCCAATTTTGCATCTGTTACGCTCAGTCAGGTTTTGATTAGTTTTTTAAACTCTCATCCTCCATCTACTATGGTGAGCAGTAGAGAAAGTTATTTTGGATGTGCTCTTAATGTGCAACGAGTATGTAGATACTCTAGAAAATATTCTGGTTCAGAATTTTATAGTATATATTGTAAATTTTAATATATTTTTCTTTGTTTAATATAATAGGAAGAAGATTTAAAACAATTACCAAATTTTAAAGGCACAAAATATTTAGAAATGGGAAAATATGAGATGGAAGTTTGGTACCAAAGTCCTTATCCAGAAGAATATACACAAGTACCAAAATTGTACTTATGTGAATTTTGTTTACATTATATTAAAAGTAAAACAGTACTATATAGGCATAAACTTAAATGTGTTTGGAAACATCCACCTGGTGATGAAGTTTATCGGTAAGCATGGAATATTTTATATGTATTTAAAATTAGATTAACTATCAAGTTTGATTTTCTTTATTTTACTATTCTATTTTTCAAGTTATTTTCTTATTTTTGTTAAATTTTTTAAATTTATGTATTTATATTTGTTTTTAGGAAAGACCGTATATCTGTTTGGGAAGTAGATGGAAAACGATTCAAAATATTTTGTCAAAATTTATGTTTACTGGCAAAGTTCTTTCTAGACCATAAAACCCTTTATTATGATGTAGAACCGTTTTTGTTTTATATAATGACTACTCAGGACGAAGATGGATGTCATATTGTTGGTTACTTTAGCAAGGTAAGTTAATCTCTTTATTATTGGATATAATTAATGATAATTAGGTATTAACAATAATGCATAATCATATTTTATAAAGGTTTTTTTACTTTTTATCAATTTAAACATTAAAATAGATCTATGTTGATCTTATCATTAAATTAAAACTAAGTGATTTCAGTTTATAAATTTATTAATGATTGGAGTTTGAAAATGTTAATTTGGTTCAAGTTAAATTTGTCTTAGATTTTTACAAGTTTATCTTGTTTTTATTATTTAAAAATAACAAAATTAATAATGTTTGATTTTAAATAAGCCATTGTTTTATTTAAATATAAATTTAAATTTTATATTAACTTAAATTATAATATTTATAAATTAAATTGTTCAACTTTTTTTTATCAACAATTGAATTTAAATGGCTATAGTGATTGTTATTTTATTTAAATGGATAACATTTTTCATAATGAATTATTTTAATCTAATGCAACCTAATCTAAACAATATGCTGTTCTTTAAATAAAACATTTGGGTATACGTAAATACATGTCATAATTTTAGTTGTACTAACTATAGTAGTAGTTTTAAGAATTTAAATTATTGTTTTGTAACATAGTCGAGTTGTATTTAAAATTTTGAGCCTTGGAACAACAAAACATAATACATTTAGAAGTGTAATAACTACCATGTTACTCATCTTTGACTCTATACACATATATTACTTCATTTATTTTAAGATACATTCATAGCTCCTTATGTTTATTTAGGGACATTCAGTACTAAAATTCTTTATTATCAATATACATTTTAATATAGTTGTGTACCTTATATATTAAGTTTTTATTATTATTTTTTAGGTTTTATTTCTTACTTAACATTTTCATTTCTTAAATTAATTTCGGTGATGGGTTTTATTTTACTTTGATAATTATTTATGTATAATATTCCAATGTTATTTGTTTCATTCAATTCCAAAGATTGATATGATTAAATTCATTGTAATGAATGACTTCTTAATTATCTAGCTGATGCTATTAACTTTTTAAATCAGTAGGCCAGTAATATTACTTATTAGAAGTTCAACTAGGATTTTAGTTATCAAAAGTAATTTATTTTGATATACATTACTATGATTTAAAAATCTGATATTACACTAAGATGGTAATTTTCATTAATAAAGAACTTAGTTTCTTGCATAAAATCGATAGGTGATAAATTTTCATGTTTATAAATATTCCACAACTTTCAGTTTTATCAAATTATCATCATTTAATTGACAAAATTTTTTTTTTAGTTTTTGAGAGGATGATGAATGTAATTTTTATAGTGATGTGTGTTTTTATTTTGTATGTGTTCATGATGAGTATTCTATAAAATACTTTGGTTTTCAATTTTGAAGATATTTTTGATAGAAAATTATATCAAATTTATACTTCAAATAGATAAAAACTAATATTTTTCAAATTAATCAGGAAAAAAAATTAAGAAAAACAGGAATTTTTATGCAAAATCAGTTTTTGATCAAATCAATTTTGTTTTTTGTTCTAATTTAAAAACCAATATTCGTAGATACTTGAAATTTTCATCAAAGTTTATATTATAATTTTCTATACATGCTTATGTTTTCAAAATATTTTGATTCTTTGAGCTAGACATGAACAATTTTTGAGTTTTTAAAATTTTATTTTATAAAAAAACCGTATTAAAATTTTTGAAAATTTAATGACAAATCTTACATAAGTTCTTTTGTCTAAATAAAAATTATAAAGATACATTGGCACAATTTTTTTTATATGAATTTGTAATTTAAATTTGAACAAATTTACTTACTTTAATCATGAATGACAATGTTAATTATTTTGTTAACTCAAAAACATTATTCATGAAGATATTAAACTTTTATGTATATTATTATGAATTTTACTGAACACAATACATTTTTTTAAATATGTATATTCATTTTAAAATAAAAAAAAATATATATACATATGTATATTATATTTATATTATGTATTTAGTGACATAGGCTTAAACCATCTCCGCTTAGAATTTTTTTTTTGTATATAATAAATAATAATATTTATTCATCATCAAAATAAATTTAACACCTATTATAGTGACATATTCGATATCTATATGATATACAGAGAAACGGTACTCACTTGCCTATTTTTTTATTATTATTATAAAATTTCAAATCTTTTATTGAATTTGATTTGAACAGTATGTAATACTTATAATTAAAGTGAACAAAATTAAAAACATATTCTAGAGTTAATACGTTTCAAACAACAATCTTAAACTAAAAATAGTGACTAGCTTTTTATGTAGTTAACAAAAAATAATGTGTAATACAGTTTTTACAGAGATTTATTATGAATATGCTTCATATGAAGTATGTATATTAGATATGTTACATATATTGTATATATATTTAGAAACAGCATTATACGAGTATTACTTAATATAAATTAAGTAATTAATTAATTTATACATTAATTTATGTATTCCTTAACATAAATAATTTTTTAAATACAAAATGAGTTTGGTATTCGTATATTTTAATCAGGTTGATTGAGTATATATTTTTATTTTTTTGTTTCTTGATACATAAAATCCAACATTCGTATAATAATAAAAGATAGACATTTTTTAGAAAACTTTCTAATTTCTGATTACCTATACCTGCAGCGTTATGTGTAAATTATCAGCTGAATATGATATTATTAATGGTGTTATTTGAGGTGGTTAAAAATTTCAAAAACTATTGTATTTTTTTTTATCTTAAATTGGTATTTTAGTCTTCTACCCCAGGAAACATCAATCGGTAATATGATGAGTTTTAATTAGTTTGACAAATACTAAAATGACGGGATTGAATTGAATATGTTGTCGAAAACTGACGATATATAGGGCATGTTCGATATGTATATTACAGTTGCCACCAATCACAAGACGGAATATCGGTACACTCTCATTAAAACTAAAAATCTAATATATGTATAATAATATGTGCTGCTTGTATTTGGCGATATATTCTTACTCCTCAGTCTTCATAACTATAGAGATAAATAATAAATAATAATAATCTATAAACTGGCTTGAATGAGTAGATGCTCACGAGTATTGTAAAGGGTTTACCATTTCCTCCCCTAACCCTTTACACTTCCGTAGATCTGTTCGATCCAATGGTGAAGTACGTGTGTCTAGCCATTTTAATGTGCGTATCCCCACTGCCACCAGTCGACGTGGTGGTTGCGTGTCTGCCCCTCACCCCTATCTACGAGCACCGAGCCGCTACCTCACCGCATCATCTATTGCTGAAAATGGGGTTGTCCCAGGTCATGGACCCATACCAGGTTGCGTTTTTCTGAACGCTAATTAATTTGGTACATGGTCGCCCGAAATCTGCGAGTATGTGTAATCCATGTAGTTTTACGTCTTCTATATACTGTTATGAGCAATATTTATCTATAAGTTATTTATTATATTACTACATAAAATACAGTACAAAACAATATGAAAATCAAAACACCGATAAACACATATTGCATAGAAATAGAAATGTGATAGTATACATTTTTGAACTTTTTTTTGTAAAATAGTGGAATTAGGTCATTGTTTTTCGGTTTCTTTCTACTTATTACTTAATGCTCCCAAGCACTATTTAAAACATAAATAGTTATGATTATTCACAATAATACACATGCTTACAATAATATTTTAAGATACCTATGTTTAAACATTAATATTTTATCAAATATAAATAGCTTCAAAGACATTATTGCATTATTTATTTTTTTAAATATATCAAACTTATTTATATTTAAATTACCTATAATATTGAATGACTTATTGAAAAAAAACAATTGTAATTGAATTATTTAAATATCTATAACAAATAAAAATATGTATGAAATGCTATTTTATAGATATTACACTATATGGTTTACGGAATCTCACCGATTTCTAGCGACTATGCGCCAAATTTGTTACCCTTCGGAAATACGCTATCGGGTTCGTTCAATAGCCCCAGACGGCTCTTATATGATGATTATTATTATTCATATACACTTCGTATTTTTCAAAATTTGCACGGAAAAGTGTTATATATCATGTCGTATTATATGATGATCACACCTGACAACGGCATCAGTGACGTAGATTTATGTGGGCGGATAATGATGAGATCAAGTCGGCCCCTATAATATTTTTGGTTTTTGTTATTTTCGTATCTTATCAGTAAATTACACTGATGTAGCTCTTGTTCTTACACACATAATAACATGTATACGCACATGATAATATATACTTTATTTTTCGATACTTTTAAAATTGATAATTAGTATGGACTATGGATGTTTGTAATAGGTTTTTTAAAAGTGAAATATTATATAACATATGTCAACAGTTGCCAAGTTTAGTAATTAATAAATGAATTTCGTGCAATGAACTCTATATTAAACAAAAATGTCACCATTATATTCGGTATAGAATTGAATTCAATCGTATTAAATTTTGAAGTTTATTTATCTAGCGATACATTTTTTATTGGTGTTTATACTGAATAATTTTAAATGTTTATTATTTAAAAAATATAGTATAATATAATAGCTCAGAAAGAGTCAAAATATTTCAAAAATGCTATGAGTAGAATTCTAATGTATAACATTTAGTGTATCACGCATCTAAAGTTGTTGGTTTTTAAGTTATACTAGAAAAACCTAATCGATTTTGTCAAAAACTGTTTTGCGTAATTATTCTTGTTTTTTTTCCAATTATTTTAAAAAATAATTTCAATGTTTTTACAATTGAACTCCTTTCACAAGTATCAACTAGTTTCAATTTTACCAGCACAAACCACCCTCAAAGTGGAAAATCTAAGCATTTTTAATTTATTTATCATGTGGACCAACTCAAACAAAATAATTGTAAAACAATATATTTATATATTACTTTACTCATAAAGCATAATTTCTTGAAAATCGTTAAAATTTTGCAAATTATTTTGTAGTTAAAAA